AATTTATTTAAATATATCCTACAGCTTAAATTGACATATTTGTATTTCATAATAATAAAGTGAAAAATCATTATCTGAGGATTCATCTGACATAAATTTTGAAACATCTTTTATTCAAATTATAAATAATTATAGAGTTTAGAGGAGAATACAGAAAAGTGAAAATACATAAAAAGTATTTTCTTGTACACTTTATATTCTAGTGGAGTAACAGAATTAAACTGTGAAATCTGTTTTATTAGATATAAAATATGAATTAAAAATAAAGGACAGCTGGTCATGGTGGCACTCCCCTGTAATCCCAGCACGTGGGAGGCTGAGGCAGGACATTTGCTGTGAGTTCAAGACCAGCCTGGGCTACATAGTGAGTTCCAGGTCAGTCTCAACTACATAATACCCTGTCTCTAGGACATTTGCTGTGAGTTCAAGACCAGCCTGGGCTACATAGTGAGTTCCAGGTCAGTCTCAACTACATAGTAGACCCTGTCTCAAAAAACAACAAAAAAATTAATTAATTCATTCATTAATTAATTAAAAATAAAGGACTAATGGCATTAGCCAATTGTAGGGTGATTGCATTTTTAAATATGAAGCCCAGAGAAAGTTTTCCTGAGAAGATAAAATGAAAAAGACACAGGCAAAAAAAGTAAAGATGTAAAATTTTGTTAAACACATATCTAATAAAATATCTTTTACATCTCAGTAACAAGGCAGGCAGTGTGATAAAAAATGTTCACACGAGATTAACAGACGTTTCATCAGTGAAGATACATAGATCACTAATAAGGACACAGGAAAATATTTAATATTGTTAACTGATAGTGAAATGCAAATAAGATATCTTGGTGTAAACACCAGAATGGCCACAGTAATTAAGAAAGACAAAAGAGATGCTGAGGAAGATACAGAAAAAGAGGAACCTTTTTGATTGCTGGTGGGAATGTAAAATGGTACAGCAATCATCATAAATTTTCAGTTTCTTAAAGAATTAAGCATAAAACTGCATACAACACAGCAATTACAACTCTAGGTCTTCACCTAAGAGGTATAAAACATGCCTGCATAAAGTTTTATATGTGGATGTTCACAGAAACCTTGTTCACAGTACCCAAAATGTGGAAACAACAAAATACCCATGAATTGGTGAATGGAAAGACAAAATGTAACATAATGGATTATTTAAAACAAATTAGTTAATAATCTGTAGCACGTAATGGAATATCCTCAATATACAAAAAAAAAAAAAGAAGTCAAGCACATAATATGCACAGTGTAATTCATTTTATATGAAACACACAAAAGGCTAACATATGAATACAGACAGTAGGTCATGGGCACCTGGGGCTGTGCTAGGCGTGACAGCAAATATTGTGAGGACTATCTTTGGGCAATGGGAAAACTCTAAAACTCACTTAGAAGGATAGGATCACTGTGGGATACAATTATTAGTTCCAGTGCCTTGAATAATTGAAAAGAATGCATTTTATTATACATAAAATATATTGGTAAGTTGTGTTTAAAATAGCCTGCGAGCCCTCCAGCATGGATGCTTAGATCTGCTTTGTAGGATTTAGGTATATGTGAACATTTAAAGTAGTTTAAATTAATTTAAAATCAAACATTAGGACTGGGGATTTGGCTCAGTTGTTCTTCTGCCTGCCTCACAAGTGCAAGGACCCGAGTTTGATCCCCAGTACCAAAAAAATAAATAAAATCAAACATCATAATGACATTAGCACATTTCAAATGTTCAATAGCTATATTATAGACAATATACACATAGGACTTTTCCATGACTTAGGAAACTTCTACTGGCTGGTGCCAATTGGAAAGCATAGGATGAGAGTGTACTGGGTGAGACAGATTAGGATATGGTGTGTTCTGAAAACAAAATATGGGATGTTCAGATTGAACTCATAAGACAAGGGGCACAAAGAAAGATTCAAACTTTGGTTTAATGGCAAAGAATAGAGTCATTGTTAACTGAAATTGTAAAGAAAGTAGAAGTAGCAGATATGAACGTGGAGTAGTATATCATAATGTTGTCTTCATATAAATATTGAAATATGGATTAGGCATCAAAAATACATGTAAAATCAGCAGATAAAGTCTGGAGCTCAAGGGTTATAAAAGAGACTGAGACCAGGTTGGGAATTTAGCTTAGTGGCACTGAGGCTCCTTCATAAGGGCAAGGTCCAGAGTTTGATCCCTGGTACCAGAAAAAGTAAGGGGGGGAGAGGGAGGGAGAGAGACTGAACAGAGAGAGAGAGAGAGACTGAACTGCACCACATCCAGTATTAAATGGGCTGGGAGATTAGTAACAACAAGTAATATTACCTTCCAGAAAAAGTCAATGAAAAAGAAAGAATATTAGAAAGTATATTTTCTGGAAACCTATAAAGAGATGTATATTTAGATAAGATTAGTGGATTGTTGCAAATGTTACAAAGAATTAATGCAAGTGAGGACTGATAAATGAACTTTTAATTTAGCAACATTGCTGATATTACAAGAATAGTTCCTGCATAGCAGTAGCAGTAAAAAAATGCTTATAATCCATAATAGAGAATAGGAAGTAATAAATTTGGAGGAAGATTGTACACAAGAATTCTAGGATGCTTGTAATAAATAAGAGAAACAGAGTAGTGGCTGAAGACAGAAAATATGGTCAGGAAAATCATATTTAAGATTAGAAAAAAATATGCCTATGTATTGATGGGAAATGATCAAGTAGAGAGATTAAAAAAGATAGTTATGCATTGAATGGTCTTGAATATGAAAGTAGGGGTCAAAGTAAAATACCACTGAGAGTGTTAACTATTTCTACTTTTGAGGAGCTCATGTGTACTGCCCAAATTCAATACATAGTGAAAATGCAGAGATATGGGAAAATGTACCAATTACACCAAGTTAGCACAGAAACTTACACAAGTCAGTCAAAACTTCTGGACATGTGTCTCACAAACATTTAAATACACTCAACACTAATGAACTTTACCCTTAAATATTTTAATATTGTTAATATGTGATATTTTTACCACAATAAAAGCATTCAATGTCTTCAGCCAAAAATGAGAACAGAAGTTATTTGGAACCTTAAAAGGGGAGAAGGATGTTTGAAAAATAATCACAGAAGACAGTGAGCCAGTAAACGGATAAAGGGAGGATATGATTGCTAGCACCAGGCTGTTCCCAATTAAAGACAGTGATGTAAATGTAAGTTGAGACCAACCAGCATGTTCTTTTTTCTAGAACATGTGTTTAATGTCACAGGAGCAGATACTAGAGAGAGGTGCACTATGATAGGGAATGAATCATCTGCACTTGCACTAATGCAGCATGAGTATAATAAGCAGCAAAGGAATCAGAGTAGCTTGGAGATGTATAACAGTCCCGGAAAGAATAAAGTGTTACAAACTTTAAACAATGGAATGTTCACCATGAATTTACCCAGAAGTGATGTAAGCATGGTAGGGTGCAGGAAGTACTGATCCTAAAGGAATATGAGAATTATCAAGGTTAGAGAGACATTAAACTAAAAATACATTAGTTTATGATTAGAAGGTACAGCATAAAATTGAGGCTGATGGAGGTGAAATATCCTCATGTAAGAGTGAGACTTCAGGTGTGAAAGTTTAATGTAAGGACGAATGGATAAGTAATGAGAAGACCCCCAGGAACTGAGATGCCGGTTTATGGAAAGTCACATGGACAGTAATTAGGAGAGAAGACTTGGAGACGAGGAAGATGAGGAAAAAATAAGTGTCTTTGGAAATGCTTTGTAAGAGGTTGCCAACAGATCAGACCAAGAAGTGCATCAGTGGATGTCAGCTTTTAAAGATGAGAGATACAAAGACGGGGATTTTTACAGAGAGCTACAAAGATGGGGATTTTTACAGAGGAGGCACGAGAATTTGCTTAATTTACTTCCTTATTTGCAGTAGGAGTGCAGATCATATGGTGTATCTTTTCTATATTTTGGTCCACTAATAGTAGGAACAGTGAAAAATAAGCATCCTCTACTAGATCGATATACATGAGGAGTTGTCTTTATGAAACAGTCTGACATCAATCAGCCAGAGGAAGAAGAGAAAAATTTGAGAAGTAAAATTATATTCTGTATAAACGAGACCCAGCTGTTGCAGAGTGTATGATAATGCTCATCAACGGGTACTTTGATAACCAGTAAGAATTTAGTAATTTAGTCATGATAAATAAATCTATGAAAACTATCTTCATATAGAAAAATAATGTGGCCTTACAGTAATATTTTTATATGAATTCTTAAGGAAAAGCATGAGAAATTCAGTCGCTACCTTTTATTCATGGGGAACATGTTAAAGATGTCTAAGTGAACAGCTGATACCGTGGAGAATTCTGAAATCTATACATACTCTGCTTTTATTCACATGTACATTTACCCAGGATAGCTACTTTATAAATTCAGAAGAAAATATTCGTTTTCCTATAACCAGAACACAATACCGCACACCCATCAATTAAATAAAGACAGATTCTTCTGGCTCAGAGTTACAGAGTATTCAGACAAAACAAATACATCACTGCAGAAGATTACGGTAGGGCAAAAATGCTTAGGTCTTGTTGGCCAGAAGGCAGGACAGTACAACAGCAGCAGGAAAGAAAGGAGTCATAGAACATGTGAAATACCCACAGGCCTATATGACCTCACAGACACACTTGGAAGTGTGCTGAGCTATTCCTCTGGGTGGCTATCAATCTGAAGGGGTTGACGATCTACTTTAATGAACCCCCCTCCAACTTCATAACCCAGTACATCACCTTAAACTAGTCTTTATCCCCAAATAAACACAAGTTCGTCATGCTGTTTAATATAATACAAATATAAGCAGAGCACAATAAGCCCTTCCCTGTAGACTGACACCAAGGCAGAAATCTAATGACGGAAGGGTGTGACAGAGTAAAGCTCCTTGGTTCATGGCAACCGGAAAGCAGGAGGCAGAAACATTCCAAAGAAAGGCTGTCAGACTGTAAATCGTTTGTAAGGTCACAGAGTTGCGCCTGGATCTTCGAGAAAGACCTCCTGACACATCCAGACACACCCAAAATTGTTATTTTCTAGTCCTTCTGGTTTAATCCAAGCCCCGTGAGGTTAGTAAACTATCTTATCTGTCCCACACAGTAAGAGATTAACAAACATAACTAGGGCTGGAGACAGCTCTGCTTAGAGAATTTCCTCAGCATGTCCAAGGCTCTGAGTTTAACCACCCAACTCAACAAAAGATAGAAAGAAAAAAAAAAGGCATGAAAGAAAGAAAGGAGAGGGGAGCAAGGGAGGGAGAGAAAAGGGAAGCAGGGGGAGACAACTAAAGATACAGTTTTAAATACACGTAGTAAATTATGTAATCCACTTTGTCTACCTGTCTACTTTCCACTTCCTGTGTTCCTCCCTCCCTCTCTTTCAAAATGTTTTATTATACTGTACTCACCATTTTTTCTTGACTGTCAGTGACTCAACAGTGAATTAGCAAAGTGTACACAGACCAGCTCCTCACTTTCACTCTTCCCCGAATTAGTTCACGCCATACACAACACCTAGGGAATTACTTCTGAAATGTGCCCTAACCTTTCTAATCCATTTCAATGGAGAAATTGGTAAAATATTTATCTCATGTATATATAACCAAAATACCATTTCTAAAGTGATAGTTGGGCTGGCTATGGTGGTGCATGCTCGCAATCCCACACTCGGGAGGCTGGATGCAGGAGGATGGCTGTGAGTTTGAGGCCAGCCTGCACTACACAGCGAGACCCTGCCTTACAAAATAAAACAAACACACAAAAACAGGTAAGATGATAGCTGGAGACAGAGAGTGGCAATGATCAAGGTAAACTTAAAAATCAGGGAGGACAGAACACTGGTCTTACCTTCACTTGGGTATTTTGTTCCAGCATATTGTTTCAAGATGCAATTTTAACACAGTAGGCTGTGCTGAAGCGGAAAAGGAGCTGCATTAGGTGAGTGGGAGGGAGAACAGAGCTGTGGGACTCATCAAGAGGTGATAAAATTGGTAGCAGGACGTCAGGGAATAAAAGGTGCGCAGAAAAAGTCTCACAATCTCATCATTTCCTCTTGAGTAGGAGGCCAGCTGGTTGGTAAGCGTGAGATTCCTTAAGTGAAGGAGATACAAAGAGCTGGGAGAAGGTATGCAATCAAGAACATTTGCAATCAGTGACTTGATATTATCTCAATTTTAAAACTTTCCCATCTTTCCTCTCTTTCTCTAACTTAGATGGCACATATTTTAAGATTTTTCACTGGTATTACTGCTATCCTCTTTTCTATATTAAATATTGAGCCCTATTGCTGCTAAATCATGTTTTCTTCTTGAGACTAATATCATATAATCTTATCTAATGATTTCTTAATTTTATGCCTTCAAGTTCTAGTATTTCCAATTTCTGTGTTTATTAATTTCCCAACACATAAAAATATTTACTTGATGATCCCGTAACTACATCATCATTGGTCAAGTTTCTACTATTTATGATCACATCCTCTATATTTATTTTATATTTCCTTTCATCATTTCATCCTTTCTCCCACCAGGTCAAGATATATCTGTTCTTGTATATTTTAATTATATGTATTTGTGTATATAATTATATATTTTAAC